ATCGATTAAAAAATTTGTCCTTATTGCAGCTCATAATTTCGATGTGGATATTTTGGAATCTCAGTGGAATTCGTTAGGAGCATTGAGCTTTAAGGTTATTTGTCCATTAGAAGAATCGATTGAATCAGTTGACGTTGTTCACTTTTCGGATGCTTGTTTTAATTTAAAAAATGGAGCTGGAGAGCAGCCATTTAAAGAAATTTCTTATTGTGTTCTCTCACTTTTCTCTCTTCCGTTAAGCAATGCTGTTGTTGAGCGAGTTTTCAGCATAATGAAAATCGTAAAAACTAGACAAAGAAACAAATTTAACATTTCAATGTTAAATTCAATTCTCTTTTTGAGGCTACATTGTAAGGTAAGATTTTTAGATTACAATGTTAATCAACGCTGGCTTTCTCTTTCATAAAAAATTCGTCATTTTGATTTATCATCATAAATTAATTTTTCAGTTCAATAATGTGTGTTGCACTCAATTTCAACCAACGGAGAAAATGTTGCAAAAGTTTAACTCGAAAACCATGTACGATTGTCCACCAGCCGAAAAAGCGAATGCTATTCAAGATTGCGAAGGAGAAAACACGTGTCAGTAAAGAGAATCAATTTCGTTTGACAACGAAGACATTGAAACGGTGCTGGATCTGTTAGAAGATAACGATCTCAATCAATTCTTTGGTTAATATGATAAATATTTAATTTAATAGAAAATTTTTATAATGTTAAAATTGAAAATTTTTATTTAAAAAAGAAATGTTTTATAATGTAAAGATTATAATAAAAAATTATAAATTACATAGTTTATTTGTTACTTTATTTTTTCAAGCAGGATATTATATAAAAATCGATTAATGTAAGGCAAAACATAATTGTTTTTAAACTTAATATTAATTAAATTAATTGATTTTCATTTAATTTAATTCTATAAAGTTAAATATTTAAAATAATCGCGCGCTTTTAAAAAATCCTAGTTGTAGATTGTGATTAGGCGGGTTGGGCTGGTTGAGCGCTCTCTAGCGGCGGGTTGAATGTTAAAGCATCTCGCAACCTTGACGAGAGCCCCTACAGCTACAATGAGTAGAGGAGAGGTACGCATGTTGAGACGGTCGGCACGTTGAGACACAATGAGGTACGCAGGTTAAAACGCTCACGGTGTAAAAATAGTACTGTCATTAAAATTGATTTTGAATCCACAATTTTTAAGCGTTTTACATGTTCTTCACCTGTAAAAATTGCGAATATAAAGATTTCGATTAATTATTTTTGTGCAAAATAAAATTTTATTTGTTGATTATCTTCTTTAAGTTAATTTTTAATGTTTTAATTTTTTTCTTTGGGCTAAGACCATCCAAAATAAGTAAATAAAAAACAAACAATTAGAATCTAACGTAATTATTCATTTTGTTTCAATTTAAAATAAATTATTATAGGTGTCTCAACGTGCGTACCACTTTTTTTGGTCAAAAATAAAATGTTTAAAAGATCAGCTATAAATTTTTCATTTTTGTCCAAAAAAATAACTTTCTTTGGCAATGTTGTAGCCCTGGACAATACTTTTAAGAAAGCATTTCGAATTTTTCGCTTTTTCTTTGTTAAAAATTATAACTGAAAAACAGAACCCGTTTTATCGTGCGTACTTTTCCCCTACAATGTATAATTTTTATTTATTGAACTTACTTTTTTAGCAGAAACTTTTATCAAATCGGCGAAATAAAACAGACAGCACAGTGATTCGTCGTCAAAACCTTGATAGTTTCTCCTTAAAATTATTATAGTTGTAGACTTGTTTAAAAATGGTTTGACTTTTTAAAACTTTCTAAAACTTGTTACACTTGAAAAATAGTTTTTACCCTTAAACCGCACCCTGGGTGTGCGACACCCATATTCTAGCTTTTTACTCTAATATATCGTTTAAATTCGTAAAAATTGAACATGTGTTGATATTGGACAGTACATTTTGTACTTAACTTTATGTTTCGTGAGTGACATTAGTCTGCCGAGTGTCTTTATGTATTTGATAACTTTATGAAGTTGACGGCGAAAAACTTCTGCTTGTCTGACACCCAGTTTTTGGTTTAAGGTAATTTCAGTAGTTTTAAAAAACTCTTTTTCAATTATTAAAATTAAATAAATCATTATGAAACCCATTTTCTTTCAAAATAGATGTACTGAGCTATATAAGATAATTTTTTCAAAAGATAATATCCTATTCCAGCTTGGAGAACACACTTAAAAGTCTCCGGGTGTCGCACACCCAGTGTGCGGTTTAAAGATGGATTCGTAAGTGCGCGGTTTAAGGGTTAAACTTGACAAAACTTGTTTAAAACTAGTTTAACCTTTTTTTAAAAATTGATTAAAACTTGTCAAAAACTGATTTGACCTTTATAAAACTTGATTAAAACTTGTCAAAAACTTTTTTGACTTTTTAAAACTTGTAAAAACTTCCTAATTAGTTAAAATTCGGAAAACTTGTTTAGACTTTGTAGAACTATAAAAATGAAATTTGAACTGTTGTGAGTAAGTAAAAATTTAATTAGAGAGTGTATCTCAGAGATTGTGTTGTGTCTTTTTTTACAAGAGCTCCAATTTTCATATTCTTGTCCCCTCTAAAGATTTTCAAATTAGGGGTTAAATTTTCTAGTGGAGGTGTATGGGCTGGCAAAAATTTAGTTTCGTCGAATAGCAGAAAAAGAAGGCGTAAAAACTCATTAGTGCGGGTCCTATGATTGGGACACTTAGTTACGTCCCTTCGAAAACTGCCAAAATTAACGTTTTAAATTTGAAAATCCTTAGAGTAGGGTTATAGTTTTAAGTTTTTTCAAAAGATGGAGATATTGTTAGGTTTTTCGCAAAATTCAAAGTTACAGAAATTCGACTTTTGGAGAAATCATCAAAGATTTTTAAATTAAATCGAATTAAAATCTTATATAAAAATTAATACATTTTTAGCAAACAATTGGTAATTAGTTTACTTAAATTATTTACAATAACACTTTAAAATATAGAGTATTTACTATTAATAATGATCGAATATTTGTATATTACTAATTTTAGTAACTAAATATATCATTTTGGGAATTATTAGAACTAATTTAATTTCATTATATTAAAATGAAATTGTTTAAATCTTAATTTTGTAGGGTATTAGCATTAAATATTTTATTTTTATTAAATTTAGTAAATTAGTATTTATCATTAATTTAAACAATTTTATTGTTTTGCCATGTTGAAATCAGTCAAAAGATTATTAAAGTTCTGAATTTTTAATAATATATTATTTAAACAATTAAATAATTTATTTAATTTATATTAAATTTATATTAAAGTTTTTTATAAATTAAAACAGAATCGATAAATTATATAGAATTTTATTTTTAAATTAAATTTATAGATCAAAAAGAGAAATTGAAGGAGCAGGCGAATTTGGTGTTTTTCCTATTTTGACACCACATAATTATCTCGCGCCGGGATCGTCTACGGAAATTCAGACCAGAGTGACTGGATTTTTCTATTGAGAGATCGCTCTATTGTTCCTAAAATACAAAACTAAATCTATGCTATTAGCAAATATTAATTTTTCTCGTTTTGAAAAATCTTAAGATGAGATTTGTAGATATTTTCTTTCGAGAAAAATCAATATCTGAGAGTTTAGAGAAAAATAAAAAAATTCACAATATCTTATCGCCATAAGAAAAATTTTATCTTAACGCCGAAAAGAGAAAAAGAAAAATATTATAGGAAGGATACCTATTCTGACGTCACACCTCTCTACCCTAATAAGTAAATGGTTTTAAATTTTGAATCTAAACTTATTCCAAAATTGAAATTAATATTTACACATTAAAAATCAATCACCAATTAATTTAATTAAAAACAAAAATTGATTATTTAAAGAATTAATTAATTTATATAATTTAAAATAATTAAATTTTTGTTGACGTGATCGAATTTGAGGCGGCTAAGAGTCAATGAGACACGTTAATTAATGAAAAGAAAGGTCGTTTATTGGAGACGATGTACACGGGACGCGGTTATCACACGAAAGGTAAAAGTAAAGGGAGAGCGCCAAGCAAGCGAGGAAGAAAGGCGCACCATACAGTCTCCATACTAGAGTCAATCGAGAAATCATACGGCGCGTAAATACAATATTTCAACACTCTCTCCCGAGATTTAATCTTTTCTGCTTAAGTTACATCACAAATAACTTACAAATTAAAATCACATTACAGTCGTCGTTATCAACATTCGTTTAAGAACAAGAATAAAAGGTATAAGATAACTTAAATCTAATTGTCATGAAAAACATTTCTGACACTTACTATTCGTAGGTTGAACAACATATATTAAAAATCAAATAAAAGTTTTAATACTTTCTGAGGAACTTTAGAACGGTTGTTCAAAAAAAAAATCAAAATCAAAATTAACTTAAAATTAGACTTTGTCAAATCACAACCGGAGTTTTCATTGGCACATTGGTTCTCACAGTATGTCTTTTTATAGATAAATCGGTTGATCGTTTTATAGAAAAATCAGTCCTCTGAGTATTATTAGAAAAATATATATCCTCTCTCGTTGCATGGTACATCTGTCGTCAAATCTCGAAGAATCAATCGCTATCACTGTATTAAACTATTGGAGAAAAGAAAGATTATTAGAAAACAGTTATTGAGATTATTTTAATTCAAACTATTAATAAACAGTTATTATGAAAACACTCGTTAATTAGTAACTATCTTTATTAAGAATTTTGTCTCGCAATTGAGTTTGGTCATGATGTCAGCTAATTGTTTCTTAGTCGAAACCCACTCAATATTTACTCTGTCGTATTTAACACATTCTTTTACATAGTCCTGATGAACATCAGTCATGTGTCTTAGTCTATTTCCACCATTAGTTTTACTACAGATCGTTGCAGCCTTGTTATCGCATTTCAAAGTTGCTGGAAGAAAACTTTGAACAAATATTCTCATTAGAGATTTATTTGTCGCAATAATTTCCTGACAAGCCTAACTCATTGCAACAAATTCTGCTTCACAAGTCGAAAGAGCAACATACGTTTGTTTGTTTGCTCGCCAAGCAATCGTATCACTGAACAGTCGTATTAGAAAACCGCAAGTTGAAATGGAATTTTTGCAGTCTGCGAAACTTGTGTCGGAATAAGCTAACAAATCGTTTTGTCTGCCTATAAATCTTAGACCTAAATCTTTTGTTCCTTTGAGATATTGAAAAACTCTTTTGACCATTTTCCATTCGTTTTCAGTTGGGTTGATTTGATGTCTACTCAGGACATTTACCGCGTAAGCAATATTTGGACGTGTGGCCGCAGATAAGTACAAAAGACTACCTATCGTTTCTCTGTAAGGAAAATCAAGGGACGTTTCTTTGCTTTCATTACAGTTGTCTTCTTCTCGTTGTCTACGTTCGCGATTCATTACCTGTCGAGTTATCATCGGTGTATTTTTCGGGAATTCATTGTCAAAACCAAATTTCGTTAGAATTTTCTCAATGTAATTTTCTTGAGTAACAGTCATTATTTTCATATCTCTTTGTCTTCGAATGTTCATACCTAAATAATGTTTCGGTTCGCCTATGTTAGTCATTTCACCGACAGATTGGCTCGGTCGGATAAATGCCTGGCTCGGTGGGCGGACCAAGGGTACTTGGTTCGCGCCCATTAGCCTGGGATTTTTCCGGCACGTGAGATATTCTGAGCGAGAGGTTTGACGTCGAAGTATAATGATGTGCACCGTCGATAACTTTCCGGTACACACCATTAGAATTCGACTGTCGATAAACCGGTTGTACTCGGAGAGGTTTTCTATAGTTTCCCTCTCCACTGGCGAGAAAACCCATTAGACGGGTGGTCTAGGCAAATATGAGTACTCCTAATTTTCAAGTCGCTCTGTAGGCGCAAAAATTTAGTATTAAGAAATGTTTGTAAGGAATGTTCTAAGGTTGTAAAAACACTTGTATAGCCAAGATTGTAGGCTTAAGACGGGTGTATAAACAAATAAATAAATGTCAGTCATTTCAAACGAGATCATGAGCTTTTCTTTAATTCCAAGCATTTTCTTATGGTCGTTACTAGCAAATAAAATGTCGTCAACGTAAATCAATAGAATAACTATTGAATTGCCAGATCGCCAAGTGAACAAACAAGGTTCATAATCGTCATTAACTAGTCCTAACGAAAGAGCAACTTCAGAGAACATTTTGTTCCACTGTTTTGGACTAACTCGTAAACCGTAAATTGCTTTGTGTAATTTAAGTTGAGTCTCCAATGTGAGAGAGGTGCACATCGATGTTCATAGCTATAGGTATACTAAAGTATGCTGTGGTATATCTATAGCTATGAACATCGATGCGCACCTCTCTCACATTGCAGACTCAACTTTACAGACTTTTAACTGTCGTGAAGCATCGGATATTTCTACACCATCTGGAATTTCCATATAAATCTCATCTTCCAGAATACCATTTAGAAAAGCAGATTTCACGTCTAATTGACAGGCTTCCAGATCGTAATAATTTATGATGGCGAGAATTGTTCAAACTAGAGTGAGTCGAGAAACCGGAGCGTAAGTTTCCTTTAGGTCGTACGAATTCGAATCTTTAAAACCACGAATTACTAATCTAGCTTTAAATTTAATTTTTTCGGGACTGTCGTATTTTCGTTTAAAAACCCATCTCGAATCTATTACACAGCCCCACAAAAAAAGAAAAGTACCCTGCGCGAAAGCCCACAGTACCATACCCCTATGTATTTTGATGCGCTGAACACGAATCCGAAGTCAGATTTGCTCCATCACGTCAGGATTTTTTTCTAACCTCAAAACACATGTCAGATTTCATGTAATTTATGTAAAATACAAAATTTTTTAAAAATTGATTAGATTTGTCTCAAACTTGTTTCTTGGGGGTTTTTAAGATCGCTGATTACGAATCTGCAGTCAGTTTATAAAAATTCAAAATGGCGGATCCAATATGGCGGCCAAAATTTAAAAATTTGGTGGATTTTCACTTTACTTGGTATATAGGGGTTTTCGGGGTCGCTGATTACAGATTTGCAGTCAGATGTTAAAAATTCAATATGGCGGATCCAATATGGCAGTCATTTTTTTGAAAATTGATTTATTTTGCTTTAAAATGGGTACTCAGTGGTTTTTCGGATCACTGATAACAAATCTTCAATTAGATTTTGAAAAATCAATATGTCCGTTTGAAAATAATGTAATTTTTATTTATGTCTGTTTATGGTAACGGACTCGTTTGGCTTCGAAAGACCTGTGCAGTAGTTTTCTTTTTAAGTTTACTCTTTCTGGAACAATATCCCTTTTTAGCATCCAACAATAGTCAGCCATCATATTTACGTCCCATCTGCCTTGATATCTGCTCTCCATTTCATTAATATCTTGATGAAACCGTTCTCCCTGTTCCTCGCTGTAGTCTCCTAAATTTTTGGGAAAGTGACTCAGATGTGAATGTAGGAAATGGAGCTTCAAACTCATTAAGCATCCCAATTTTTGAAAGTTTTTGATCATACCATTCACTATTAGTTCCCAATTCTCGCTCTTATGGTTGCCAAGAAAGTTTTCAATAACTCCCTTAAAACTAAGCCAAATGCAGCTTTCTCTTTTTTACTCATTACTGTGATAAATTTTTCATCTTTTACTAGTTTGCGAATTCGAGGCCCAACAAAAATTCCTTCCTATAATTTAGCATCAGATATCTCTGGAAATTTTTGTTCCAGGTACTTGAAACATTTCCCTTCTTTATCTAAAGACTTTACAAACTGTTTCATTACCCCTAGTTTAATATGTAAAGGTGGTGGAATTACCTTTGTAGGATCAAATAGAGGTTTTTTTATTTAATATTTTTGGAACCTGGTGTAAAGGATGTTCTTTTGGTCCATTCTTTTTGTACGTAATGTTTTTTTCGATCTCTACTGTCCCACAAACATAAAAAGCAAGGTGTTTTCGTAAAACCTGCTTGTTGGCCCAACATGATACTTATAATTTTAAAATCTCCACAAATTTGCCAATTGTGTTCTTTATATTTAATTTTCTCCAAAACTAATTTGACAGTTTCATAATCTTCTTTAAGTTCAGTGGAATGGGCTACGGGAATTGAAGCAAAAACATTAGTGTTATGAATTAGCACTGCCTTTAGACTTCTTTTAGAAGAGTCAATGAATAACGTCTAGTCTTATGTTGATCTTCATATATGTTTGGTTTCAATTCATTTATTAGTCCTTCAATATCAGAACAATATACTAATGAAAGCTCATCGTCTTTTGTAAAATATTTCCGAAATTCCTTTTCTCTGTCACGATAAAAGTAAGCTGTGGTGCCTTTAGATAACAAATTTTTCTTTTTTAAAACTGAAGCTAGATATCTAGCTGCATATTCTATTTTTGCATTTTTCTATCTAGCTGATATTCTGCTCCATTTTTGGGTAATTTCAAATCTCTGATGAGGTTGCTAAGCTCTTCTTGCGTATAGCCTTCTTTAACCTTTTCTTCCTGATAACCATCTGGAATATAAATATCATCATTGTCTTCTACAATATTACTAACCGCATCACTTATATCGGAAAGTACATACTCTAATGGTGAACTGTTGATTTCCATATTTGCAGAAGAAAGAATTAAATGACTTAAAATTTCGGGTTTTTTCACAGATACTACACATGCGTAAATTATATTCTTTTTATTATTTATTATAGCCTTTTACATTGGTCATGCAAAAGTAGCAATCTTCTCGATTCAATGGTTTTTTCCACAATGTTGGTTTTTTAAACTTCAGGTGTTTATCCTCTTTTGTATCATTCCAACGAGTTAACATTGTGTAGCAGGAACTGCAGATTGTATTTGGAACCCATTTTTCATTCTGATTGACTATCTCAAAATCAAAACAATCTTTGTAAATTTGTTTAATGTTTTCATTGATTAATTTGCGATTTTTCAGGATATAAAATTGTCCGCATACGTAACAAAATACATCTGCTTTGCTGTCACATGTATGTTGTGAGGTTGACACTCCAAAAAGAACTTTTGAAGCGTTTGAAGTTTTTTTATTGTTTTGATTTTTGAAAGCCATGATATTTAGGAAAATGCCCGCACGCTAGGGATCCTGGTCCGATCGCATGCGAGTCCACCGTCCTAGGGGTGATAACCCTCATACCTCCCTAGGCCTAAGTATGAGAGCTTTCCGACTTTGACGAGGACATTATCAACTCGTCGTCGGACACACTACGGTATCATCCTCACACCCTAACGTCCCCCTGCAAGGCAGCGCGCCTTCGCTGGCTTCGTTACTTCGATAGACAGGAAGCAAATCATTCTACACATCCCATTTCGGGGCAGTTGTCGTCGCCTACTACATCTATCGAAGCAGCAGGATTAATAGACCTTTTCATTTAAGGAATCTGTACTGCGCAAGCGCGGAGTATATATATAACTTCCAACAAAGTTTCGAGCACTTTTTGTACAAAATGCACAGTGCCAATAGTGAAAAGTAATTAAAAAATATTACTAATAAATGTAGAAAAAAAATTAGCGTGTATTAAAAATGAGCAGTATCCCTGAGAAAAATAATCCACAAAGGAAAAAAATTGATGCACAAAAAAAATATTGTTTTGGGAATTGCAAAAGTGATGCTCGTTGCAAGTCTTATTTGACTGAAAATTATTACTTTATTTCTTTCCCAAAACCGTTTAACATGTAGACAATAAAATATTAGGAATGAAAATATTTGAAGTAATTGCAAAACTTGTCAAGTACATCGAAAATGAGACCTTTGGGTAAGGTTATGTTCATAACATAACATAACCTTATTTACATGTAAACAATATAGACTTTTTTACCCTTTAAACACTGACTTCGGCTTTATAACCATATTTTTAATTGACAGCTACAGTATTTTTCTCTACCTGTTCAAACATTAATTTAGCTTCTGGAATATCATTTTCATCGAGTTTTTTATTTGAATTGTTATTAGCACAATATACATTCTGACACAAAGTTGCTCGAAAATTTTGAAATCGCGCCGTCTCTCATGGCGTAGCTTCAACTTCCGGCCTTAAATGAAAAGGTCTATATTGTGCCAAAGCACAATGGAAAGACAATACAGTATTATGTCCTAGCAGGCCTGCGTTCAAGAGAAAAGTATTCTGCAATTGTTGAATTGAACTTCATCCAGAAATTATGCCTAATTCTCTAGAAATGTTCCTAGATGTCGTCTCGATAAATACATTTTAATTTAGGCATTCAGGTTACCAAAAATCTGCATTTCCTGCTGCATAAATGTTTACCAACAAACTTTTCGAAACTTTTAAATTCACCGACTCCCAAAATGCTTGCATATCAAGTCATATTGGACCAGTTGTTAGAAATTTTTAAAGTCTGATTTGAAATTTGTGATCAGCGATCCGAAAAACCAGTGAGTACCCATTTTAAAGCAAAAGAAATCAATTTTCGAAAAAATGACCGCCATATTGAATTTTTTAAATCTGACTGCAAATTTGTAATCAGCGACCCCGAAAACCCCTATATACCAAGTAAAGTGAAAATCCACCAAATTTTTAAATTTTGGCCGCCATA